GGACCATTTCTCGATTTATGCGTGTCATCCTTGCATGCAGGGGCCATGCAATCTTCTCTTTATCGTTCCAATTTTTAACAGATGTCCGGAAGGATGCACAGTAGTCTTTTCTTTCAGGGACTGCCTGGTTTTATTCCTCAGGCAGCTCGTGTATCAGAAGAATACTGTGGTTGTTTCCTCAGTCATGAGGTGCACTCTGTGGCAGGTTTTTTCTTCCATTTCTTCTCTTTTTCCCTTTTTTTTTTGAAGTCCAGATAGTAGTATAGGCTGGATGTTAGGCCTCGGGAGCTGTATGAAGTTGATTTGATCTATTGGGGCAGCCCACGACCTCACGGCCTCACATAAAGAGCTCATTGGCACCAATTCCAAAACTTGGGCAATTGTGAGCTCCCAGTTCGCAATGATGGTTTTACAGTACAGACTCAGCATTGATAGGAAACACCTCCAAGGAAAAGTCAGAAGCATTTAAACCACCAGTACTTGGGCACTGCGCGCCGCGCCGGCCGCCCAAATCTCGAAGCAGCACGGTCTGTCGATTCGATTTATCAACGGCCCGCCGGCCGCGGAAATCGCGTAGCGTTAACGCTAAGGCGTCGCCCAAGTACCGGTGTTCTCTGATGATGAAGTGCTCACGGAAGAAGAGAGGATACACCAGCTGAGGATCGCTCTCTCTCATTGAATAAACAGTTCTGACTCACTACAAACCAAAGGATTGTGAATGTCATGGGTAGCTTCTGCTATTCACCAATGACGTCTCTTCTCACAGAGAAGGTCGGGCAGAGTCTGGAAGGTGGCCTGCAACAAGAAGAAGTAATAACTATGAACACCGTGACTCCTTTTAACCTGGAGGATGGAAGGAACTTGAATGATAAACTTTTGTTCTCTTTGGATAAAAGGACTTGGAAAGGAGGAGAGGCGACGTCACTCTCACTCACCCAAGCAGACAACAGAATCATAATTTCACAAGCATGCTACTACGAAGGGGGAAATTCTTCTGTGGTAACCACAATGGATCAGGCAGAAAAGGTAAATCAAGGACAGGGGGGGGGATGCTTCAAGGATATTGAGAGAATTCCCCTCTTTGAAGGAAAGAAGCATGGGGAGCGGAGGTGCGGAGAGGAAAAGAAAGAGGATGGGGACAGAGCAGGGGGGAGGTTGGGTTAAGAGGGGGGAAGAGAAGTCGGAGGAGAATGGAGAAGGAAGGAAGGAAGATGCGGAGGAGGATGGGGTAAACGATGCAGAAGAAGGAGCAACAATAGGTGATGGAAGAGGAGGAGAGGAATCGCGACAAGAGACAGTGAACAAGGGGAATTATAGTGAGAATTCTTCAGCAGCCAAGTTAACCGGCGCCCAAATTATGTCCTCTATCATAAAGTTTAACGGGATTAAATTAAATGCAAATCAAGGACAGTCAACCCCTCCTTCCTCAAGGTGGACACAAATGGTCAAAGGTCCGTTTGAAACAAAAACGCTTGAGGTACACAAAGCTCAGGAGGACAGACTTCCCCTCTCCAACTTGCCCACGACAGGAGCATTTTTTCTTTCCAGATTAATCAGCCCCTCTGAATGAAGGGTAGTTGATTCGGGGGGGGGGGGGAATCAATGATCAAATCATACCCGTCATTGAAACTAGCAGAAAGAGAG